ATTCGTGTATTATGGCAAACTATACTAGTGTGTTGTGTTTAACTGTTTAGTGTATTACCGCAAACTGTGTTAGTGTATTATGTAAAAATGTGTTAGTTTGATATTTATAGTGTGTTAATTTGTCTGAATATAATTATAAAATGGTAGGCGAACAGAAACAAATGCTGCAATAATGGATTTTAATTATCATGCTGCTAATATTTATTTATTTATTTCTTCAGCTAGTCCAAAACTTACCTTTTGCTTCATGTTATTTTATAATGAATTTCTGTAATAACTTTATAAGGTCTCCAAGCCATCAAGTATTGTCACATAAAGCTAGACACCCCCCCCCCTAATATGACGTCAAACCAGCCTACAAACCAACAACCCCATCTCCCTCAAAATTGCAGTTGTATTTTTGTAAACATCGATATTTTTTTCTAAAATATTTTCTGAGCTCGGTAAACATAACGTATTTTAATCAATTTCTTATTCAATGTACTAAAACAGTTTTCAAAATGTGAAATAACGGCTAAAATTAAGTTACAAACATTTCTTTTTTAAAATGAAAAAAAAATGTGACGTCACACTATCTGAACCCATATTTCCCTCATCACATATCGTCACAAAATTACAGACCCCCCTCCCCCTCTCTCCCTACGAGTATGACGTCATTTATAGACGACCCATGATTAGAAATCTATATATAATTCAGTTTGTATTCCTACACCATCAAAGTAGCAACCCAAGTATTATGAATCACTCTTAGGGTAAGAACTTTAAGGCTGTCTTTTTTTTTTTTTGTCCTTTAAAAAAATCTAATACGGTCTTGTATTTAATAAAATCTTCATCTTAAAAGAAAAAGTTGAAAAATGATCCAACGAAAGGCCCAATCTTGTGTCGTCTTAGAGTTTTACGCAGCGGTCGTCTCTCTTTAAAAGAGATGAGTGATTTCCCCTGGTCTAGAGGGGTGTATGCACGATTCTAAACAATGGCGTCCTTCATCTTGTGGCTTTTCATAGTTGGACGCCTTCTCTCTCGATTCATTACCCACATTCTGTGGGAGCACAACCACACTTTGGCAGACAATCTCATCCACGCACAAGTCAAGATAACCACACGAACCCACACGAACTCGCACAACTACGCACAACTACACTTTGGCAGACAATCTCATCCACGCTCGCACAACTACGCACAACTACGCACAACTACACTTTGGCAGACAATCTCATCCACGCACAAGTCAAGATAACCACACGAACCCACACGAACTCGTCCAACTACGCACAACCCAGCACAACCACACTGACGCACAAATAGGTGCACAAGAGCGAGTGGGCTTGCACATTTCCACACAACCCACATCTGCTACTTCACCAGTCTGTCGGAATCAAGACTTATAACACCCCATCAACATACTTGAATCAAGACTTATAACACCCCATCAACATACTTGAATCAAGACTTATAACACCCCATCAAGATACTTGAATCAAGACTTATAACACCCGTTTCTAAAAAAATGCCTGAGGAAAGACCGATGTTACCCCATCAAACTGCCTAAATAAAGACCCCCCCCCCCTTCACTAATCCCATCAACCAGCCCAAAAAGACCCCGTTTTCGCTCAATCTGCCTGAATAAAGACCCTCTTTACCCCTGTTACCCCATCAACCTGCCTCAATAAAGACCCCTTGTTACCCTATCAATGTATCTTACACAATCAATTAACCTGAATGACCCCCCCCCCAATACCCCATCAATGTATCTTAATAAACACCCCCTTTACCCATCAACCTACCTCAATAAAGACCCTCCCTGTTACCCATCAATGTATCTTAATAAAGACCCTCCCCCCCCCCCCTTTAACCCCATCAAAGACCCACCCTGTTACCCCATCAATGTATCTCAATAAAGACCCCCTTCTCCCCCATCACCGTGCCGGTATGAAGCGTCTCTATGTAGTTTGCTTGTATTGGCGCTCTAGCCAAACCTCCCAATGATTAGGTTACAAAAGGTATCTTTGCCGTCGTCATTTGGTTGTCGGCTGTTTATTTTCTGCTCCATCCCACCAAGGCTTAACCAAACGATGGGGCGGATCAAGGAGGGGGGGGGGGGTACGCAGATTGACCGCCCATGAAGAAATTGTTATAAGCACGCTACGTTACGGATATACAACTCGTTAAGATTCTGCGTTTCATTATCAAAAAATTCGTGTGAACACTATTATAAAATTATTTTCTTGAAACACTTATCATTAGCGCTCATTTTCCAGGTGATTTTTTTTTTGGTTTCAAGAACGACAAGCCATCTTGGAATATTCTCGCAACTTGCGCTCAACTTAGACTTAGGCCCAGTTTTGTCAACAGCTTTAGACCTAATCTTATTACAACCATCAGGCTGAAATTTAAGGCGTCTTTTCAAACGTGCGAAACAATGTATTGATTTTTTTCTATCATAAAACGTATTGATTTTTTAATCATTGGTAGATGTGGTTAGGTTTATGGCTTGGTGAAGGTTTTCTATGGGGAATGGTTAGATGTCTGTTTAGGTTCTATTTGTGTTAAGGTTTAATGTCGGTTTAGTTTTATATGACTTAAGGTTTAAGGTTTGTTTAGGTTTTATAAGTGTTAAGGCTTAGACTCTGTTTTATATGTGTAAAGGTTTAAGGTCTATTTAGCTTTTATATGAGTTAAGGTTAAAGGTCTGGTGTTAAGGTTTTATTTGAGTTAAGGTTTAAGTTCTGTTTAGGTTTTAAATGCTTTATATTTTATATTGGTTTATGTCTTTGATGTAGATTTAAAGCGTAGATTAAAATGTAGATTTAAATGGTTTTTAAGTTGTATGTGTTCAGCTTTGTTTATTTATTTTGAGGTTTTTTTTTGTATTTTATGTTCAATGTGATTATGTTTCAGATGAGTTTATCTTTTATTTATGTAAATTAATGTTGTGTTAGGTATGTTAGGTTTACGCTTTAGTGCTTGTGATGAGTAACAAAAGTAATTGACGTCACACGCTAGGAATGAAAGGGAAGGGCGAGGGGGGGGGGGGGTCAGATATCTCATGTAACCCTTGCCAGGGGTTAGGGTGGTTAAGTAAGGTGACGTCACAGCAAAGGTCAGAGTTACTCGCGCGCTGGCTGGAATAAAAATAAAGCGGTCTCACTAGCTGACAGGGTTCTGTTCAGTTGTAGGGAGGGGGGCTGTTTAGTCTGGGGGGAGGGGGTGTAGGGGGGTCTGAGTGTTTAGTCTGGGGGGTGTAAGGTGTCTGAGTGTTTAGACTGGTGCGAGGTAGTGTAGGGGCGTCTGTGTGTTTAGTCTGGAGGGAGGGGGTGTAGGGGCGTCTTATTTTTTATTGGTGGGTTTAAGGGCGTCTGAGTGTTTAGTCTTGGGGGAGGGGGTGTAGGGGCGTCTGAGTGTTTAGTCTGGGGGAGGGGGTTTAGGGGCGTCTGAGTGTTTAGTCTGGGGGGAGGGGGTTTAGGGGCGTCTGAGTGTTTAGTCTGGGGGGAGTGGGTGCAGGGGCGTCTGATGTTTAGTTTGGGGTGGGCGGTTAGGGGCGTCTGGTGTTTGGTTGGGGGGGGGCGGTTAGGGGCGTCTGAACGTTTAGTCTGTGGGTGTAGGAGCGTGTGAATGCTTCGTCTTGGGGTGGGGGTTGCAGGGGCGTCTGCGTGTTTAGCCTGGGTGTGTATGGGCGTCTGTGTGTTTTGTCTAGTGGGGTGTAGGGGCGTCTGATTATCTTTGGAGGAGGCTGCAGATCGTTTAAATAATTAGTCTGTGGGTCAGTGAGAATCCTGATTTGGCGTGAATTCATGTACACGCCTCAATCAGCAACGTAATCTACAACCCACGTCTTATAAAATTAGAAAAACCAGAAATGTATGAGACAATTAGTCTTGCTATGATAAGGACTATCGGCAGTTGCAAGCAACATATACACGGACAGGTAAGTGCAGTAATTAGTGTTGGACTTCATTCGCCGGTCATCGCCGTGACCTGCTCAAATGGTGGCTGCCATGTCTTGCACTCTGGTGCAGAAAACATAATTAGTTTAGTTTAATATTAAAACCCAGCATAAGAGAAATCTCATGAGTCAAACAATTGTTGCCTTGTAGATTGTTCTGGGTGGACAAAGGTTATGAACGCAAAGCATAAAACAATAGCAAGCAAAGGCGGAGTTAACGGGCCATATGGTGAAAAACTATTGAGACTAAAATGCTTAATTTTAATGGGGAAGTGTCGTTCAATAATTGCAATTTTTAGAACGAAGAACAAGAAGATTATTATTTTATTAAAATACATTGTTTATAATCACACGTTAACACAATCAGATACAAACACCCCCACACATTTTATATAAAAATACCCACACATTCTCATATAAACGTATAAGCATACTGATACATTTTATATAAACATATACATTCTCATATAAACATACTGACACATTTTATTTAAACATACACATTCTCATATAAACCCCCCCCCCCACACATTTTATATAAACATACCCACACATTCTCATATAAACATAACAATTCTCATATAAACATACTGACATATTTTATATAAACATACCCATACATTCTCATATAAACATACCCACAAGTTCTCACATACATACCCAACATTCTCGTATAAACATACCAATTCTCAATTCTCATATAAACATAGCCACACATAAACACCCACCCAAGGTAATACAAACATCACACCTACCATTCAGTGAAACAAACCACAGACACGCAAACACCCCCACACATTCCCACACTAACCGGCATTAGTCAAAAATATAACAAAGCAATGAAACCGATACAAAACAACTATAAATAGATCAAATGGGAGCTAACCCCACATATTTGTGTACAAATCTACCTAAGTAAGACAACTCTACTGATATTCACTACACGCCTTAGTAACACAACGAATCATACTTTATCTCAACAAACCGAACATCTCGTCCCAAATTTTTATACCAGCTGAATCTGTCTAACTTGGCCTAAATAAAGGTGTGGGAATGAAAACATCTCGTGTGTTGTGCCAGGTGTGTAGCTGATGTGCTGGCCGGGTGTGCTGCAGTGTAGAAATTGTGTCATGCTCTACCAACAATCTAACTGCACTACACTGCAGAGACCGGTGCACATTCATGCGTGTCTGTCGTGGTGTAGTGTGCACGCGTACCCGGTGACAGACAGACAGACATACAGATAGACAGAAAGACATAGAGAGCACAGCTGTGTGGTGTAGTGGGTAGACACGGATTAAGTTGCGAGCTAAAAATGTTTGGGCTCAACATCTGACTCAAGTGAAGGTAAGCTACAGTAGATAAGTTAATGTCACCTGTTCCAATTATAGATAAACGTACACACATAGGTGTTATATATATATATATATATATATATATATATATATATATATATATATATATATATATATATATATATATATATATAGGCATAAATCTTAAATATACACGTACCTCTATTTATTATACATGTATGCATTAATTGTGTTGGTTTATGCACATTTTGACACTTTAACAAATGACAGGCTAGTATGATGATAACCTCTCTAGCCGAAATTACATGTTAGATTGATGACAAACCACCCCTAGTCCAAATGACAGGCTAATTAATGATAAACCACCCCTTGCCGAAATGACAGATTAGATTAATGATAAACCACCCCTAGTCCAAAAAAAAAACAGATTAGATTAATGATAAACCACCCCTAGCCCAAAAAACAGATTAGATTAATGATAAACCACCCCTAGCCCAAAAAACAGATTAGATTAATGATAAACCACCCCTAGTCCAAATGACAGATTAGATTAATAATAAACCACCCCTAGCCCAAAAAACAGATTAGATTAATGATAAACCACCCTCTTGAAACTTCGTGTATCAATATATTCCCTCAGTAAAGATGACTGAAGCCTTTATAGCCCATGTATTCAAACAAACATTTGAACTTAGAACATTATATAGACAAGTATATTGCATTAAGCTGCTGGACATCTCTTTTCATAACCCTAAACATTAACTGACTTAATCGTTAGTCTAACCCAGACCCTAAACGTATAATAATTTTGGTACTTTTATAAGACCCTAAAAGTATAAGTAATGTTGGTACATTGATAAGACCCTAAAAATGTCATTAAAAAATCACCGCCCCCCCCCCCCTCCACGCCTTCTTGCCTAAGTAGCATATGATATGTGTTTATCTAAGAGCAATATCCTGCAATAATCACACACTACCTAGGACATTCCAACATTATCTAGGACCCGAACAGTCCCACATTACATAGGACCCGGACAGTCCCACATTACATAGGACCCGGACAAAGATTGACCGTGCTAAAAATATAGTTCCTGGAAAAAAAACAAAAATAAAAGGTTGAAAAAAAAACCAGCTTTAATGATTTGTTACGTGTTTTCATCAAAGAACACCGAGTGACACCCATTTCAAGTTTAAATAATTAAAAATCTCTGGGTTAAAAACTTAATGTACTGGGTATTTTTTTAGGGTGGGATGGGGAAATCGTTTTACACTTCGTTGTTGTAACAAACCTTCGTGAAAAGTTTCAAATGCAGACATAAGTTAGAAGTGCAGAAGTGCATGTTTGCTAGTAGTAGAAGTCTGTATGCTGGTCTCTGCTGGTTGCAGGTTCTGTCTTATGCTTGTCTATACTTTTTAAGGGTACTTCCTGCATACTGATACTTTCTGTATACTTGTCTATACTTTCTACTGTTGCTGTCTGTATACTTGTCTATACTTTCTACTGTTGCTGTCTGTATACGTGTCTATACTTTCTACTATTGCTGTCTGTATACTTGTCTATACTTTCTACTGTTGCTGTCTGTATACGTGTCTATACTTTCTATTGTTCCTGTATGTATACGTGTCTATACTTTCTATTGTTGCTGTCTGTATACGTGTCTATACTTTCTACTGTTGCTGTCTGTATACTTGTCTATACTTGTCACCACTACATAAAAAATACAACACCAACAAAGTCATAAATAAAATCAACAGGGGCTTCCTGGGAAAGGTATGGGAAGGAGCTCTACACCCCCCCCACCCCATAGCACAGCAATCACACATAGAACCATCTAGAACCATCTAGAACCCTAGTCCCTTTCACGCCTTAAATAGGTGCCCCTCCCTGTATACACTGTGACGTCACGGGCACGCTTGAATGAACCAGACAGATATTACTTCCCTAAGTTCGACATAACCACCGTTTCTTCTCGAACTTTCTCCCCCAGCACCATGGGCAACCGACTGTGCAGGAGACGCAAGAAGGAAACCACCGAGAGCCAAAACCCTTCACTGCTCCTCATCAAGCAGGCGCAGGAAAAATATTTTCACAGCCATGTGGAGAGCGACACCGACGACAGTGACGTCATGGAAGAATCCATCGATGCCATGTCTACCTCCCAAGACAGCTTGGATAATTTGGATATCGAATCCGGGGAGGCTGAACGATGGATCGAAGATCGATCTAACCCGCTGGAGAGTGCGTGCACACTAAATCAAATCTCCACAATAGGTGCACAAAATGACGAGTCGAACAAATCTCTTGATACAACCAGCGAACAAAACCCCGTGGAAAATCGAAAAGGGAAAAAGGGACGTAGAGCTAAGTATATCCGGCTCAGTAGGAGAGAGAATTTCTTTTCTATTTTCAATGAGGAAGATAAGAAAGCTAGAAGTGTGGACCCTAGGTTGTACGCTTATCCATTCGAAAACATTGTCTTTGAAGGGGGAGGTAACAAAGGAATAGCTTACTGTGGCGCGGTCAGGGTAAGTTGCTCTTGACATTAGGGAAATATATGAACGCTTCAAGCGTAATTGTTTGACAAGTTCAATTGTCGTTTGACATTTTATGAAGTTGGTGTTCGAGTTGTTTGATACAGGAAATTAGTTGCCCGTTTCAAATAAAACAGGCCATGTAATTATAACAGAGAAATGGTGGGTTCGATTCAAATAACATTGAGCCAAATGGAAAGCAAAATGTGTCATGGTTTGTTACTTTCGTTTATATAAACCATGTTTAAGAAAATGATAGCGTCAAGATTAGTTAGTACTTTTGACATAAAATAAATTAAGACATAATTTCGATCAATTTCAGGCTCGATTTAGAAAATAGCTATATTGTGTATAATATCTATCGAGATACACAGATTGTAATTGTTAGCACTTTTTTCTTGTACTAAAATAGCTCTAAATTCAGTGAAATTGGTGGGTAGGCAAGATAATTGATGTTCGTCGGGGTTACAGTTTGAAAGTTTAATTGGCTGCTCAATCATGAGATCGATATTTGCAATGCAAGATATTGGAGGTTATTGTTGGCAGGTATAGTGCAGACACCACCACCATGTTGGTGGGTATAGTGCAGACACCACCATGTTGGTGGGTATAGTGCAGACACCACCATGTTGGTGGGTATAGTGCAGACACCACCATGTTGGTGGGTATAGTGCAGACACCACCACCATGTTGGTGGGTATAGTGCAGACACCACCACCATGTTGGTGGGTATAGTGCAGACACCACCACCATGTTGGTGGGTATAGTGCAGACACCACCACCATGTTGGTGGGTATAGTGTAGACACCACCACCATGTTGGTGGGTATAGTGCAGACACCACCATGTTGGTGGGTATAGAGCAGACACCACCACCACCACTATGTTGGTGGGTATAGAGCAGACACCACCATGTTGGTGGGTATAGTGCAGACACCACCATGTTGGTGGGTATAGAGCAGACACCACCACCATGTTAGTGGGTATAGTGCAGACACCATCATGTTGGTGGGTATAGTGTAGACACCACCATGTTGGTGTGTATAGTGTAGACACCACCATGTTGGTGGGTATAGTGCAGACACCACCATGTTGGTGGGTATAGTGTAGACACCACCATGTTGGTGTGTATAGTGTAGACACCACCATGTTGGTGGGTATAGTGCAGACACCACCACCATGTTGGTGGGTATAGTGCAGACACCACCATGTTGGTGGGTATAGTGCAGACACCACCATGTTGGTGGGTATAGTGCAGACACCACCACCATATTGGTGGGTATAGTGCAGACACCACCACCATGTTGGTGGGTATAGTGCAGACACCACCATGTTGGTGGGTATAGTGTAGACACCACAATGTTGGTGGGTATAGTGTAGACACCATCATGTTGGTGGGTATAGTGCAGACACCACCACCATGATGGTGGGTATAGTGCAGACACCACCATGTTGGTGGGTATAGTGTAGACACCACCATGTTGGTGGGTATAGTGCAGACACCACCATGTTGGTGGGTATAGTGCAGACACCACCACCACCACCATGTTGGTGGGTATAGTGCAGACACCACCACCATGTTGGTGGGTATAGTGCAGACACCACCATGTTGGTGGGTATAGTGCAGACACCACCATGTTGGTGGGTATAGTGTAGACACCACCATGTTGGTGGGTATAGTGCAGACACCACCATGTTGGTGGGTATAGTGCAGACACCACCACCACCACCATGTTGGTGGGTATAGTGCAGACACCACCACCATGTTGGTGGGTATAGTGCAGACACCACCATGTTGGTGGGTATAGTGCAGACACCACCATGTTGGTGGGTATAGTGCAGACACCACCATGTTGGTGGGTATAGTGCAGACACCATGTTGGTGGGTATAGTGCAGACACCACCACCATGTTAGTGGGTATAGTGCAGACACCACCATGTTGGTGGGTATAGTGCAGACACCACCATGTTGGTGGGTATAGTGCAGACACCACCACCATGTTGGTGGGTATAGTGCAGACACCACCATGTTGGTGGGTATAGTGCAGACACCACCACCATGTTGGTGGGTATAGTGCAGACACCACCATGTTGGTGGGTATAGTGCAGACACCACCATGTTGGTGGGTATAGTGCAGACACCACCATGTTGGTGGGTATAGTGCAGACACCACCATGTTGGTGGGTATAGTGCAGACACCACCACCATGTTAGTGGGTATAGTGCAGACACCACCATGTTGGTGGGTATAGTGCAGACACCACCACCATGTTGGTGGGTATAGTGCAGACACCACCATGTTGGTGGGTATAGTGCAGACATCACCATATTGGTGGGTATAGTGCAGACACCACCATGTTGGTGGGTATAGTGCAAACACCACCATGTTGGTGGGTATAGTGCAAACACCACCACCATGTTGGTGGGTATAGTGCAGACACCACCGAGTTGGTGGGTATAGTGCAGACACCACCATGTTGGTGTGTATAGTGCAGACACCACCATGTTGGTGGGTATAGTGCAGACACCACCATTTTGGTGGGTATAGTGCAGACACCACCACCATGTTAGTGGGTATAGTGCAGACACCACCATGTTGGTGGGTATAGTGCAGACACCACCACCATGTTGGTGGGTATAGTGCAGACACCACCATGTTGGTGGGTATAGTGCAGACACCACCATGTTGGTGGGTATAGTGCAGACACCATCACCATGTTGGTGGGTATAGTGCAGACACCACCATGTGGGTGGGTATAGTGCAGACACCACCACCATGTTAGTGGGTATAGTGCAGACACCACCATGTTGGTGGGTATAGTGCAGACACCATCACCATGTTGGTGGGTATAGTGCAGACACCACCATGTGGGTGGGTATAGTGCAGACACCACCACCATGTTAGTGGGTATAGTGCAGACACCACCATGTTGGTGGGTATAGTGCAGACACCACCATGTTGGTGGGTATAGTGCAGACACCACCACCATGTTGGTGGGTATAGTGCAGACACCACCATGTTGGTGGGTATAGTGCAGACACCACCATGTTGGTGGGTATAGTGCAGACACCACCATGTTGGTGGGTATAGTGCAGACACCACCATGTTGGTGGGTATTGTGTAGACACCACCATGTTGGTGGGTATAGTGCAGACACCACCACCATGTTGGTGGGTATAGTGCAGACACCACCATGTTGGTGGGTATAGTGCAGACACCACCATGTTGGTGGGTATAGTGCAGACACCACCATGTTGGTGGGTATAGTGTAGACACCACCATGTTGGTGGGTATAGTGCAGACACCACCACCATGTTGGTGGGTATAGTGCAGACACCACCATGTTGGTGGGTATAGTGCAGACACCACCACCATGTTGGTGGGTATAGTGTAGACACCACCATGTTGGTGGGTATAGTGTAGACACCACCATGTTGGTGGGTATAGTGCAGACACCACCATGTTGGTGGGTATAGTGCAGACACCACCACCATATTGGTGGGTATAGTGCAGACACCACCAGCATGTTGGTGGGTATAGTGCAGACACCACCATGTTGGTGGGTATAGTGCAGACACCACCACCATGTTGGTGGGTATAGTGCAGACACCACCATGTTGGTGGGTATAGTGCAGACACCACCACCATGTTGGTGGGTATAGTGCAGACACCACCATGTTGGTGGGTATAGTGCAGACACCACCACCATGTTGGTGGGTATAGTGCAGACACCACCATGTTGGTGGGTATAGTGCAGACACCACCATGTTGGTGGGTATAGTGCAGACACCACCACCATGTTGGTGGGTATAGTGCAGACACAACCATGTTGGTGGGTATAGTGTAGACACCACCATGTTGGTGGGTATAGTGCAGACACCACCACCATGTTAGTGGGTATAGTGCAGACACCACCATGTTGGTGGGTATAGTGCAGACACCACCATGTTGGTGGGTATAGTGCAGACACCACCACCATGTTGGTGGGTATAGTGCAGACACCACCATGTTGGTGGGTATAGTGCAGACACCACCACCATGTTGGTGGGTATAGTGCAGACACCACCATGTTGGTGGATATAGTGCAGACACCACCACCATGTTAGTGGGTATAGTGCACCCACCACCATGTTGGTGGGTATAGTGCAGACACCACCACCATGTTGGTGGGTATAGTGCAGACACCACCATGTTGGTGGGTATAGTGCAGACATCACCATATTGGTGGGTATAGTGCAGACACCACCATGTTGGTGGGTATAGTGCAAACACCACCATGTTGGTGGGTATAGTGCAAACACCACCACCATGTTGGTGGGTATAGTGCAGACACCACCATGTTGGTGGGTATAGTGCAGACACCACCATGTTGGTGTGTATAGTGCAGACACCACCATGTTGGTGGGTATAGTGCAGACACCACCATTTTGGTGGGTATAGTGCAGACACCACCACCATGTTAGTGGGTATAGTGCAGACACCACCATGTTGGTGGGTATAGTGCAGACACCACCACCATGTTGGTGGGTATAGTGCAGACACCACCATGTTGGTGGGTATAGTGCAGACACCACCACCATGTTACTGGGTATAGTGCAGACACCACCATGTTGGTGGGTATAGTGCAGACACCATCACCATGTTGGTGGGTATAGTGCAGACACCACCATGTGGGTGGGTATAGTGCAGACACCACCACCATGTTAGTGGGTATAGTGCAGACACCACCATGTTGGTGGGTATAGTGCAGACACCACCACCATGTTGGTGGGTATAGTGCAGACACCACCACCATGTTGGTGGGTATAGTGCAGACACCACCATGTTGGTGGGTATAGTGCAGACACCACCACCATGTTGGTGGGTATAGTGCAGACACCACCATGTTGGTGGGTATTGTGTAGACACCACCATGTTGGTGGGTATAGTGCAGACACCACCACCATGTTGGTGGGTATAGTGCAGACACCACCATGTTGGTGGGTATAGTGCAG